GTCAGCCCACCCGCCTCCCCCATGCCCTCCAGCCTATATGCTTTAATACCTTGTGCTGCTTGCCTGGCGCCATGCNCCCGCCTCCCCCATGCCCTCCAGCCTATATGCTTTAATACCTTGTGCTGCTTGCCTGGCGCCATGCTGTCTGTCTGCCCACCCGCCTCCCTCATGCCTTCCAACCCATGTCCTTTGCTTCACTGTTGGTTGTGTCTTGTTGTTTTGTCGAGCTACCGTCTGCCTAAACGCCATGTGTGGGTAAATAGAGGATCTAGCCTGTGAATGTATGAGGGCATTAGGGATAGTGGCGGAGTGTATCCTGTGTCGTGATGGTAGGTGGAGTGCATGTTTATCATGTGCTGAGGCTACCATAATATGTGCTTACACACATCATCATCACACACACACAAAAAAAAATAGTTTTATGTCTGTCTGTTTTCCTTTTGTTGTCTGTTCTCCCTCCGCTTTTTTTCGTACTTTTACTAACCCAACTGAACACCTTTGAGTAGTGTCAAACTATCAGTGCCTCCTCATTTAGAGTGCCTACTGCACTCTTGGGGGGGCTGCTCAGTTCCGGATGTTTGTGTTGTATGTGGGTGATGACGGATGTTTGTCGGAGTGACTCCCTGACTCAGTGGGTGGTGCGAACCACCAGTCTGTGGTGTTTAATCGTGATGTGAGTAAGTGATGTGTTGCTTTGCTCCATGTTGGATGTGCGGACTGCCTCGTCTGCGCTTTGCCTTGCTTCACATGTGGTTCTCTGCAAATTGCTGTTTTTCGCTGTGTGGTGTGGCTGTGTTGCTGGTGTTGCATTTCGCTTCGATGCTCTGCTGCTTTGCCGCTCATCCGCTGGTTGCGCCTTCCGTGTCCTTCGCTTGCGTGCCTTGTAGTTCACTTGTCTTGTAGGTGCTGCTTTGTGCTCCTCCGCATGGTTGTCGTGCTACTTGACCGCTAGCGTTGTCGTCCCCTGCCGTGTGGTTGCCCTATTGGTGTTGCCTTGTGCTTCACGGAGTGGTTGCTGCATTGCTTGTATTGCGCGCCGTGTCATTCCTTGCAGTCGTTTTTGGCGTTGTGCAGTTGTGTGGCCTCTACTGCGCTCCGTTGGGGGGACAGTCTGCCTTCAGTCTGCCTTCAACAAGGGTCAAATGGTCCATAACCCAAACCATCCAATACGAAAACTCTGCAGATTGTCGAGGGTTCAGCTTCCTGATGAGTCTGTGCAACTCCGACGAAACAATCTTATCATCATCGGTTTTTTATTTTTTTTCGGTCGTCGCTGTTTTGCGGGACTTGAATATATTTCTTTTGCTTTGCCTGCTTTGTGTGTTTGAGTGACGTCTGCCCTCCCGCCTCCCCGGTGCCCTCCACCCATTGTCTTTTGCTGCTGCCTGTTGTCTTATACTTAGGGTATCTTTCTGTACTCGCACTTTTCTTTTGTCTTTCCTTGTTTTGTGCATTTCTGTATGGTCTGCCCTCCCACCTCCCCCGTGCCTCCAAGTTCTCGTGCCTTTCTGCAGTTTGCTGTCGTTGCCTCCTTCCCTTTTGCGTTATTGTGCTTCCTTTCCCCATCTCGTGGTGTCTGTTTGATCGTGTGTGTTCCAGTTCGCCCACAAAGTGGAATGGGAGCATGGATGCTCGTGTAGTCTGGTATAATCATTCCCCACCTTACAACGTAGGTTCCGTCTGCACGACGCCTACAAGTTCTTGTTCCGAGCATGCTCATGTAGTCCGGCATAGCCATTCCCCACCTCCGAGTACCGGATGCGTCTGCACCACGCCTACAAGTTTTCATTCTCAAGGTGCGGCCGATATATTATTTCGGAGCTTGATAATGATGCGTTTCCCGTGTCATACGACAAACATGTCATATTATGCGGGACACACACACACACACACACACACACACACACACACACACACACACACACACACACACACGCACGCACGCACGCAC